CGGGAACAGGGAGCCTTTTCTTCTCCCGGCCGCGGGGCGGGGGCTGGCGGTGCCGGGGCTGTGACACGAGAACGGGGGCAGGGAGCGCACGGGGAAACCGCAGCCCCCGGGAGCAGCAGCGGGGACAGGGACAGGGCTGAGCCCCCCGTGTGCCCAGCGCACAGAACCCCACGGAACCCCGCAGCTCCCGGGGCTGGGACCCCCCTGTGGGGCCACCCCTGCTCAGACCCCGGTGCCAGCTCTGGCCCAAGAGGCCAAATGTCTCTGCTGCCACCAAAGAGGCCACAAGAAGCCAGCTGAGAGATGTGAATGCCCAAAGGCAGCACAAGCCAGTCCCCAGCTCCCCGCAGCCACAGCTGCCCCATGTCACCAGTGATGCCCCTGCCCACTCGCCACCACTGCTGGAAAGTTCCTCGTTGAAAATTATCCCGCTGTGCTCGTGTGTCCAATGGCTCACGGGTGGGATGCTCTGGGCACGGGCACACGGGGCTCTCGGGATTGCCACACGAGCCACAGGCTGCACCGGAGCTCCAGCGCTGGGGGAAAGCTGCTCTCTGCGATGGACAATTAGGCAATTAAATTAATCCCCACGTGCAGCTCCTGCGGCAGGAGGAAGCGCTCGGGTGAGCAGGGCAGTACCCTGGAGAGCCTCCTGGGGCCAAAGGCATCGATCTGCCCATCCCACAGGGATGGAGATACCAGCCAGACCCTTGGCATCCCCTCCGAATGAGGGGCACCGTGGGATGTCCCCTCTGCCAGCTCTGGTGGCCCTCGTGTCCTACTGAAGCTTCACCCTCCAAAGCCGGTGCCATCTTTGCTTAGCCCAGAACTGGACCCCCAGAGACAAGCCAAGGGCTTGTGGTCCCAGCCAGGGCTGCAGGAATCCTGCTGCAATCCCTGTCCCCAGAGGGGTCCTGGCACAGACAGGTCTGTGCATTCCCCCACACAGGATGCCCCAGTTCGCAAACACCAGTGAGAGAATTCACAAACACCGACTGATTTAGCGCACGCACAAAACCAAACAAACTTTGACTGACTAATCCTTTATCCATGATAGCTTTGAGGAATTTCTGCTGCACCAGCTCGGGGGTGCTCCTGCCCCAATTCCCAGAGCCAGAAAGCTTGGGGAGTTCAACAGGGGCTTGGGGCAGTGCTCAGCTATTTAAATATTTAAATGTACTTTATAGAGCAAAACTGATATGGTGACATTTTTGAGATACTATAGACAAGATATGCAAATTATAAATATACACAAATGATCCAGAAGGAAACTAAGGCTTTTTGAGAGCTGTATTCCCATTCAATTTTAACTCCATTTGTATTCAAGCACCCAAGAGTTAGTGTCTGGGGGTGACTCCCATGCAGGACAGAACTCCAGCAAAAGCCTGCTGCTACCAATCTCTAGCTCTCTTCAAGATGCCTTTGTGAAAACAAGAAATATAAATCAGGCTGCATTTTTTAAGTACAAAATGGGGCATGAGCAGAATGCTCACCAGGCAATTTTTCCTACCCCTGGGAATAGCACTGAGCTGCTGGAGCCTGGCTGGGACATTAATCCTGGGACATTAATCCCCTGCCCCCAAGGCAGGCACCAGAGCAGCTCAAGGAATTGCAGCAGTTATTATTATTAGCTGGAGCAGGGAGGCTCCCGTGGCGAAACGCCCGAGCACAGCACGGGGCTGGCTGGCAGCACACATTTGTGTCCTCACACTCACACTCAGCCCTGGTACCTGCCACTGACAGCACACTCAGCAGCTAAAACACAGCCACAGGTGACAGGGACACCTCCTCCTCCGGCTGGCACAATGAAATGCCATTTAATAAACTGCATCTGAGCCACTTGGGTATTTTTGCACATAGTTCTGGTGACAGCTGATGTCTGGGGAGGATCCCAGCCCTAATTCTGGCCAAGGGTTGGGATTAACTCCCAGGACAGAGGAATCTTGTCAGGTGCAGTGCTGGCTCCCTGCAAGGGCAGGTGTCTGCAAGCTGAATCCCTGGCATGAATTCACACCAGCCTCCTCTCACTCGTGGAGGCTTGAGCCATTCATGTACCAGCTTTCCCACACCCAAATCCAGAGGTAAAACCCTGTCCAGTGCAGCTTCTTGAGCAGGACTGAGGACATGACATCAGGTCTGGGACACAGGATGGGGGACTCAACAGCTAATAAATAAACAATAATCAGGAATCAAATTCCCTGATAGCTCCAAGCATGCAGCCCCAGAGCAGGTGGCAGCATGGAGGTGACAGCACCCAGGGGTTTTTGCAAGCCCAGCAGTGCCCAGTTGGTCACACTCCAGCACTGTGGGGTCTCTGGAGGATTGCCACCATGACCCACTCCTCCACCACAGTGGTAGAAGACCCTCCCCAGTTGCCCTCAGGAGCCTGGGGTTGCTGTCAAACCCCACCAGAGCCAGGCTGGTCTTATGGGCACCCTGAGAGCAGAGCACTGCAAAGATGAGGGGGCTCAGGGCACGGGCAGGCAGCAGCAGTGGGGGCTGGCAGGGACACGGTGCTCCTCCCTGTCAGGAGCATCAGAGCACGACTGACAGCAAACAGCATCGGGCACATCTTCCCTTGACACCTGCTCAGTCAAAACCACTGCCCAAAGATGTCCTTTCCTTCAGGCATGGACAAGGAGAGACATTCCACGCTCAGGGGCACCAAGTGCCCATCCCATGCCCATCCCTTGCTCCCAGGCACCGCACCCCAGGACATTTCCAGGCTGGACAGGAGCCACGTGCCACTGCCAGCCCTCTTTGGGGATGCCAGGAAAGACTCTGAGGCAGCTTCAGAAAACCCTTTATGCCAACCCTCAGACACACAAAGCCTCATTATGTGACAGTGAATTCTTTTCGCCCCCCACAGCAGCAGGAGCTGCCAGGCTTGTCCTGGAGAGGGATCCTGCTCCCAGCTCCGTGCCACAGGGCTGAGTGCAGCCACGAGCTTCCCCACTCCAAAGGGAATCAAGAGGTGGAAGAGGATTTTCGGGGACAGATCCTGGCTGCAGGCAGGGTGCAGAGTGAATTGTCCCCACATGCTGGGCTGTCTCAGGCTTCTGTTCCTGATGCTGGGGAGAATTCCACAGCCCTGAGAAGAGGCAGCAGCCCCAGCCCAGACCTCAGCCCCGTGGGTTTTGCTAAGGGAGGGCTGAGTTATGGAGAGGGGAAGGATTTAAATCAGTGCCCAGGATAAATAATTGCATGCTCTGTTTATGATCCTGAGACAGTAACACAAAACACCAGAAAAAGACTTGAAAAGAACCAGAAAACACAATCCTGGTGAAATCCAGCAGTTCTTGCTGAGCTCTGAAATTCACCCTTTGCCTTTCTCCTGTAGATGATCAATGAGCTTATCAGGCTCCTGCCTTGCAGCAGCAGCCGTGGAAAGCAGAGGAACAGAGATAGGGATGGGGAAGCACCAGAACAGCCATGGGGACGAGACTGTTCCAATGGTTCCATTGGCCCCACGGCTTCTCTGCTCCAAGGGCTCCAGAGCCTGGAGCTCTCTGCAACCAAAATAACCAGGACCAGATGTCTTGAGGGCCACTATGCTCACACGAGTTTCTTGTAAGCACAGAGGACTCCAAGGGGTACAGAGATGTCGTTGGGAGCTGACAGACAAACAGGTTGCACGAGGAGCGCAGACACTGCAGTGAGGGAGCCCAGCCAGAAGCCTGTGGGCCCACAGGCACAGGAGAGAAAAGCCCACAATGGCCAGACCAAACATGGAGAAAAACAGCCATTGCCAATTCCCCTGGCCAGGGAGGCTTGTCCTCCCTGCAGGGCCTTGGGGGAACACATTCTGCCCTCAACCCGACACACTGCCTGCTCTGCTTGGTCACCACCCCAGGGTGAACAGAAATTCAGTTCCTAATTGGGAAGAAACCCCTCAGGGTAGTAAGATCAACTGTTAAAGGATACAAAGGCAACTTAACACACTGGGTTTGAACTGCACATCGCCAGCAGGAGTGAAGTGTAAACTGAAGCAAGAGTTTAGAGTAAAAGAGATGACAAAGCATTCGTGTCTGCCAGAGCATCACAACCTCAGGACCAGCTGAGATCCTCTAGGGAGCAGAGAATGGGGCACAGGGAGCAGGCACCCACAGCCACCATGTGGAACACTTACCAGATGTCCAGGACATGTCTTCACTTCCCCAGGAGACACAGAGAAGGCATTAACCTCATCTTCCTCACAATCTAGGGCATTGTGGGCTCTCCCCAGGTCTGCCTTGAGCAACCCCACCAGATCTGTTTTGTGCCTGAGCATGTGCCCAGGCTTTGTCTGGGAATGTTCATCAAAAGCCAACATTTCACTGCTGCTGAAAAATTTATTGTGGCCTGTAGCATCCCTGCTGTGCCCTGCAGGTCCCTGTGAGAGGCTGATAAATCTTGATCTGTGCCTCCTGGTTCTCCTGGGAAATGATCCCCAGAGGGACAGCAAGGATTTGTCACGGATCAGCTCATAACCAGGCTCATCCTCAAGAATGCACTCGCTGCTCCTTGGACAGAGGAAGCCATAGGCACCTTCCTCATCTTCAGCTGATGAGGAGGGTGGGGTTGGGGGCTCATCCTGCTGGCCTGGAGATGCCAGTGGCTTTGCTTGGTGCTCAGCGTTCCTTGGCTCCATCGTCTGTGGCTGGGACCCTCGCTGCCACTGGCAAAGCAAAACCAGAACTCATTAGCAAGAACCAGGCAGGAGACTACATTTATTTTGCTTTTCCTCATTTTCCTTTCCATTCCATTAGAAAGGGGTGTTATGATCCTTACTCCAGGATCCTCTGTGCTCTCCTCACCAGAGCATGCAGACCCACAGTTACAACTCGACCAGCTGGGTTTGTATTCTTCATTTCTGTCTTAAAATACCAAACTCCCTCTATACTTTCAGAGGAGGGTGTGCTTCTCATTGTGCCCTTTTCACTGCTGGCAATGCAGTGCTGGGGAAGGGTGGGGGTGTGGAGGGGGCTTGTTGGGATGGATTGCAGATGCTGTCTGAGGTGTGTTTCAGGCTCCTGGGCAGAGCTGGGGCCAAAACTTCTGCACAGGCAGGGGAAGTTTGGCTAAGGCAGGGAATCACTCAGTCTCCTGCCACCTGGGCCCAGAGGGGAAGAACAGAGTTCCTAGGTGGCAGGACCCTGCCTGCCCACTTTCCCCACTGTCCTCAAGGCTCTGACAATGCTCCCTTGCTTCCATCAGCAGCACAAACAGCAACTGCTCAGACACAGAGGGCTCAGAGCACAGATATGACGAAGTGCCAGGCATGGCACTCCTGAAAACTTGCCCTGTTCCCTTCTTTGAAACGCGGGCAGAGGGGACAAGGTTCAGGGAGGGTAACCAGGGCAGAAACACCAAACCCATCCTTCCCACATCAGGAGTTGCACTTCCTGGGCTTTTTTCCAACTAGGATTCAGAATGAGTAAAGCAAACCTTCACTCTTGTCTCCCAGAGACCCTGAGCCCCCCAGCACAGGCATTGCCCCCTGACAAGGTGACAGCAGAGCAATGCAGAGACCCTGGTGTCTGTCCCAGCAGCTGCCCCCAGTGCTGGGCTGTCACACCTGCCCTCGGTGACGCTGTCCCTGACACCTCCATGCTGGACACAGCCTGTCCTGTCCCACCCATCACTGTCCTTGCATTGAGTACCTGCAGTGTGGAGATTCAGCAGGCTCCTGCCTCACTTCCAGCTCCTGCAGCCATGTCACCTGGTTTCCCTGCCAGGAAAAGCCAAAGGTCAGGAATCAGGTTCACAGTCCCAGCTGTAAACAGCTGCACTGTATGGGTTACTTCCTGATTTTACCAGGAAAATCCTTCCTTCCACTGTCACCTGCTCCATTTGTTTGCCCTAGGGTACAATTCAGCATGCAGAATATTTGCCTTAAAAGATTCGCTTGGGGGACAAAAACGCTAAATTTGAGCTTTACCCAGACAAAGTGTAACTACAAAGCCCAGAGCTGCACTTGGGAACACCTCTTCTGAGCAGAGCAGTTACATTTCCAGGACTGGTAACCTGTTTTCTTTTTAAAAATAAACTCCCCTTTGTTGAATGAACGTGTTTTCTTGCCCATGTCCGAGCAGGCAGAAAGCTGCAGCAGGGCTGGGTGAGCCCGAGCTGGTGGCTGGTGATGGCAGCTGAGGCTGGCAGGTCACAATTCACCTCTGGGGCTGCCTGCGAGCCCGAACACCCCGGCTGTGTCCCCAGAGCTCCGGGGCACCGCTGCTAAAGGCTGTCAGGGACAGCGCGGTCCTGCCGCCCTCTGCTGAGCACGGTGGCTTTTCCCAGCACCTCAGCCCATGGGCAGTGTGTCCCTGCTGCCACCAGCGCCAAGGCTCCCCTAGCCAGGCTCATGGGTGTCCCCATTGCCAGCCCGCGAGAGCACGGAAACACTCCCGGCCACCGCCTCAGATCCTGGAGTGGCTCAGGGTGGCTTTAATTGCCATGGGTTCATTAGCCGGTCAGGGACGGGCCCTAACACCCATTCACCCATCAGGACCCCTCCTACCAGGTTTCTGCTGCCCCATCTCCCCCAGCCCCGTTCAGCCCTGGCCAGCACCGCTGAGCCACACGCTGCTCCCTTGCGTGGCTCCTGACACCTCCCGGCCCTGAAGCCTCTGGAACCCCGATTTTGGGGTACAGCAGCAGCACTGCTCCTTCCCTGAGCAGTCTGAGCATCAGCAGGACCCAAGCCTGGGCAGGGCACTGTCCCAGCTCAGCCTCAGGGGCCCTGGCACATGTCCTGCTCTCCGTGTGGGGCATGGGGACACCCCAGGGGACACGAGGGTGGGGACTGGGGAGCAGGACCCCCCACTCCTGCCCCAGCCAGAGCAGGGGAGCTCCTGGTACTGCAGGTGCCACAGGTACAGAGAGCACTGAGCTTCCATCCACATGTCACATTGCCCACGTGACTTTCCAGCTGTTTGAATTTTTCAAGTTAAAACAAATAAATTATTTTCCTTTTTATTGGTATTAAATAGATCAAAATTAAACATATACAACTTCTGCTGATAAACAGTATTAAAAAAAATCCTAGTAGGAAAGAAAGCCTGGTTTGTGCATTGGAAGATCAGCCATTTCCCTGCAGAGCAGTTCAAACACTCCATTGTAGGCAACACAGCTGCTTCTCCTTGTCGCCCATCCCCAGCAGCTTTAAACAAGAAGGAAAAGCCTTTCCCCTTGGAAAGCACAACAGTTCTTACCACAGACATTTCCAGCACAAATTAAACCTCTCTGCTGTGGTGACAGAGATCCCTGCACTGCAGGGCCCTTGGAGGGATGTGCTGACACCTGGCTGGACAGGATGAGGGACGTTCAGGGAGCACTCAGCACTCACAGGTGACACCAGCACTTTAAAGGAATATCAATCAGCTGATTAATTCTAGACATCTGCAAATGTCAAACAAGCTCAAGGCATTTTGTTTCCCTGAACCAAAATGTTTTGGTTGTGTTTAACATGCCCATGTCCTGTTTTCTTTGGGACAACCCTCTTACCAAGAGACGACTGGTTCTGTCACTGCAGGGGCTCTGCAGGACCTCCAGGGGTGGCTGAGGAACAAACGCCACTTTGGGCTTTTTGACTTTCTGAAGTCATACAAAAAATTTCAAAACATTACTGGATCAATTAAATGCTACTCCAATGAGTCTTCAGATAGAACAGCAGCTCAAGTCACAAGACCCAGAGAGAATCCAAGGATTTCTTTGAAAGTGTGGTTAAATTCTTCTAGAACGGAAAGATTTGGCTCAAGGAACCCCACCACAACCATCAACAGCTTTACCATCCACTTCCTTTGAATACTTCTTTTCAGCTTCAAAAAGCTGAACTAACATTTAAATTAAAAACTGCACACTTAAAAGAAAAACCACATTCCATACCAGCAATAATTTAATGGAAATTTAAAAATTCCCCTTTCCATGGTTCCCATGTCTATGAACCAGCACAGCTCCCATCCAGCCCCTTGGTGCCACAGGCAGGCCCTGCCACACACAGCAGCTCGTTATCCACAAATGCAAAAATGCACTTTTAATCTGAAATTCAGCAATTTTCATCCCAACTCCCACCCACTGCCAGTGTTTACAGCACAGACTGCTCTCGCACATATAACTAGAAATTAGGCACATTCACATCTCAGCAGAACACACAGACCTCAGTTTCAGTCTGTCTGCACAAATGTAGGAAAAAGGACATTTTACAGCAGCTTTTTCACCTCAGATATTTCATGGATTGCTGACTGAGAACAACAGACAACATGAATCATTTCTGTAGTTTCCAAAAGCAAGTCCCAGCTCCCAATGTCTGTGCCAAAATACACCTGATTCTTGCACACCTGTACCCAGGAGAGGTACACAATGGAAGGTGAGAGTAGAATTCACATCCTGCTTCAGAACAGCCAACACCTCTAGTACCATTTACTTCCCCTCCTTCAAGCTGTTTTAACACTTTGGAGCCCAAGCCCTGGTATGGTGCTTCAGACCCAAACAGCTTGTGCAGCAAAACCTCAATGTCCTGCACAGAGCCCCTTTCTTTTATCATACATACACATTCATGGTACTTTCCACGGAATCTTTGCTTCCCAAATGCAGAGTGAGAGCCCAGTCCCTGCTACAAAGCAGTCTCAGCATTTCTGCAGGACTCTGAGCTTTGCACCCTGTGGTCACAGGTCCGTAACTTGCAGCGAGCCCACAGTCCCCTCATGGATGCAGCGATGAAGGCACCAAGCTGGAACCCTCTTTCCTGCCACATGATGGGATGGTCACACACAACACACAGATATGGACAAAAGCAACTCCCTGCCACCAGCTCCAGTTCCAACCCAACTGAGTTTTGACTGAAGTCTCCTTTCCTGGGAAAGCCCCAGTCCCACGATGCCCTGGCTGTGCACCCCACCACTCTACAAGGGAATGAAATCGAGTCAGACACGTCTCTTTCCTCTCCACACAACGTTGAAGTGAAGTTCTATGGTTTGATAAGGCATTTTCATCTTCAGTGAGAATCCAAGCACAGGCAGGAGATCTGCCAAGTCGTGCAAACTTCATCTCCCAACAGCTTGAAAATCCAGGATCTCCCGCTCTCTACTCAGATGGAACAATCCCTGGTCCCAGTGGGCATTGTTTATTTAACACCAGTACAGAACAGGGCTAAATAAACCCCTCAGCAGCTGGACCTCAGTTATCTTTCACAAAGAGGGACACACAAATGAGCACTTTTTGCAGCTCTCTGGCTTTATCCCACAACCTGCCTTTTTACAGTATCCCTATATATAAATTAGAAAGAGATAAAGCCAAGGATTCACTGCAGCATCCATGAAAAAGTCCAGTCTGTGTACCAGTCCCTCGGGATGGTGCTCACTGCGGGGTGAAGGTCAGGATCATCCAGCTGATGACAAAGTAGAAGAGGAAGATGGGGTACACGACGAGTGCCTTGCGGTTGGGGGGCTGGCTGTCAGCCAGGAACGCCGTGGATGCTGTGGAGACACAAAACACGTGGAGCAGGAGAAGCAGAACCCTCACAGCCCCCACTGCACAGAGCAAACTGCAGCAAGGATCTGCCCTGCAACTGTGTTGAAAAAGAAACCACTGCTCAAACCAGCAGGCTGTAATCACCAAGTGAAACTTCCTTTATCATACAGAATGACAAGTCATGGAATCATGGAATCACAGCACGGTTTGGCTTGGAAAGGAAATCCAATTCCACCCCCTGCCACAGGCAGGGACAACTTCCAAGCTCCAAGCCCCGATCAGCCTGGCCATAAATGCTGATTAACACTGTACAATGAGAGCCAGACTCACAGATAAAGAACAAGAGAGACTATGCAAATGCATCTCTATAAAAATCAGCATTTTCTAACAGTATTTATAACGTAATCATAGAATAAACCACCAGTCTCACAGAGTTTAATACTTAATCACCATCCTGCTGCCCAAGGCAATTTGCAGATGACCATGGAAATCACCAGAAGCAGAGGCAGAGGCTGAACCTTTGCCAGCTCAAAGACTGGAAGAACTATTTCCAGAGCCCTTCAGCAGCCCAGGGACACCTTAGACTAGAGCATCCCTTGGTTTTGCCTGAGGGAATGAACACAGATCAAGCTCCCCAAGCACAGGGCACACGTGAGGGACTCACCCAAGGTGGACCAGCCGAACATGGCCCCCACCACGATGAGGCGGATGATGAAGCTGACGGTGCCTGCGCCCGCCAGCAGCACCAGCCTGCACACCAGCATGGCCACGGTCAGCGGCATCACGCAGTACCCCAGCACACACAGGCTCTGGAAGAAGGAGCTGCACAGGGAGACAGCAGCAGAGAATCAGCAGTCAGGCCAGAACTCCGTGCACAGGAGCCATGAACTGCCATGGAACAAACCCACACTCACATGGTGCCTCCCAGAAGCTTCGAGTTGAGTGTGATGACAACGGCCCCAAACCAGATGATGACAAAGACCTCGGCAAACTGGGGCCCTCCGTCATCCTTGCTGTCTGCAGAGCCACCCTGCAGCATCCTGGAGTGGGGAACAGGGAGAAACAGCTGCAGTGGGGAACAGACAGATGGAGGCATCAGCTTTCCTAGACTGGAGTAGGTGGCAGAGCAGGAGCCCCAACACTGATCCCCAGTTATGCTGCAGGCCCACAGTTTTTCATCCATTTTATGTCTTCATTATATCCTCAGTTTTGCACAGGAAAGGAAAATGGTTGTGGCTCAACTGAGGTGATTTCAGTACATTTGTTTCCCTGTTTTGAGGGCTGTGAAAGCAATCAGAAGGGAATCAAGCCATGGACAACAGGCTGAGATGGAAATTAAAGTACCAAAGTTTTGGTACCTCTCACAGCAGTAGTGTGTGATTGAACAAACCAGCCTCAGAGAAACCTTGGAATAACTAGGGGTTATTCCAGCAGGCACCACAGCTGAATCATGACATGAGACACCTCCAGTAAAACCATTCCTAGGCCAGGGGACCAGGAAGAGTTCATCCTTAAATCCTAAACTTAGGAACAGGAGGTACTAATGGGCTTGAAGTGCCACAAACATATTTTATCAGAGAACTAACCCAGCAGTGCTTGCACAAGACAGAGAGGGATCAGATGAAAATGATCTTAACACATTAATTAGTAACTTTTAATGTCTCATTTCCCTCATGCCCTGGGCTACAAAACCCCAATTGCCTCGGAATACTCACAGAGCCAGGGAGACACACAGCACCAACGGGCCCCACAGATCCCCTGCAGGGAGAGGGAAAACACATCACAAAAGTCACAGAACCATCTCAGTTCCACTTTCCTAGGAGTGACAGGGCCCCTTGCCCAATGCCCAAGGTGCCATTTTCCACATCTCACTGCTTTACAATTTTCTTATTCAGCATCTTACACCACGATCTCTAATGAAATTCATTCAAGACCCACCAGTAGCTAAAGCTCCCTGTTTCACCCATTGTGCCCCACACCACCCTGCCACAGAGCTCTGGTGACACCCTGGCTGTCAACTCTGCTGCTCAGGATGTTCAGCACTGCTCAATCCCTGTCCCACTGGATTCTGCCTCTCCTCTGCAGATCAGGAAGGCCCCAGCACGTACAGTCCCTGAGGAGTGCGCTGCTCTTCTTGGGATACATGACATGGACAAACTTCTTCCCAACAGCCTTCAGGTCCCTCATCTGAAACAAACACAAAACACTTGAATTTATCCCCTCACAAAAATTACAGCTTCCAACTATAGCAAAGAGACCAAAGTAAAGGAACAGGGATAGCAAAAAAGAAGAGGAGCCAACCCAAGATATTCTGTAGCATCATCTGTAACAATGACTACTTTTCCTGCATTCCTCACCAACCACTGCATCCCATCCTTTTCTGTAATAACCACAATATTGTATCTTTTAGTATCACCAGAATATAAGCAACAATTTGTTCGCTCCTCGAGGAAAAGAAAATAAATGAAAAATACCTTCAGTCAGTAGTTTCTCACAAGCTCCCACTGAGGCCTCTGCCCTCACATTGATTTCAGGATCACAGAGAAACTTTGGGCCACAATTCAGACACTTTTTGACCCACAGGAATTTGTTTTACGTGATGAGTTCTAAAACAATCCCCGCTGAAGTACAGGCTGAGCAGAGCTGTGCAAAAACACAGGTTTTGCAAAACAGCTGCCAAAGACACCAGAAAACCTGAGTTCTACCCCAGCCACAGGTCCAGACTCACAATTGTGTCCTTGACTGGCTCATCCAGTGTGGAGAAATCCTCATCAGGAGAGTGAGATCCCACAGGGACAGTGATCTCTCCTTCCACTGGAATATCCTGGGATATCGACACATCTGCCAGACCTGGGAACTGAATGGGTACAAACCTTCAGGAAGAAACACAGCCATGCTCGTGGGCACTTCAGATGGGTTGGGGATGGGCAGAGCTGCTCAGAATTCAGGGATACAACAGCTAAAAGGCTCTGCAGCAGAGCCGGGCTGCGGCTGCCCCATGTGAGGAGGTGTGTGTGAGCCTGTCCCCTGTCACCCACAGAACCCACCCTCCGTGCTCCGTTCCAGCAGCAGTAACTGGAAGAATAAAAAGCTGTGTTTTAAGGCAGGTGACGCCTGAGGGCTGCACAGCCGCACTACCCGCGAGTGTACCCGCATTTAACAGCGCCGGGAGCTGCCCGGGCACCGCCAGCCCGGGCACACACCGAGCCCGCTCAGGGGCCAGGCTTAACCGGGCTGATGCCCTCCCCGCCCGCGGGCGAGGAAAGCTCTCGGGAGGCCGGAGGTGAAGGCAAGCAGGGCACAGCCCGACCGCTTCTACGGCAAACGCTGCGGCAGGGAGAGCACGGCGGGAGCCCGGCGGCTCCTCGGCCCTGCGCCTGACCCTGTCCTCTTTCCTATCTTCTTTCCCTGTCGCCTTCCTCGCCCCTGTCCTCGGCCCCTTTCCCCCTCCCCGCCTTCGGGACCAGCCGCCGCCCGCCCAGGCCTCCAGACCACGCTTGGCCTTTACCCGGCACCTG